TTTTTATGTCCACACTTAAATTAGATGTATGGGGTCCAAGAGATGTGTTGATGATTTAGATGAAACAATTGTTGAGGTCAACTCAGAGAGATCTATGGGAGAGAAGCAGTCTGAGTATAAATGCAGTCTTACAGATGTTTCTAAAACCATTGTACTTGATGACACATCTGTGAGGCTGTGGGAATGATTTGATAATTTTTTTTCTCTAATAGTTGTGATTTTATTTGTAAAGAAACTCATAAAGTCATTGCTGCTGAGATCTAAGCTCAACAGCACTGTGGCTCTTTGTCAGCCTGGCTACAGTGCTGAAAAGAAACCTGAGGTTGTTCTTATTTTCCTCTATCAGTGATGAATAATATGTGGTTCTGGGACTACAAAGAGCTTTTTTATATGTTATTAAACTATCTTTCCAGGGTAAGAAACACTCTTTTGACCTAGTGGAGCTCCACCTTCTTTCTAGCTTTCATGATGCCTGCTTTAAGGAGCAGAGCTACGAGCTGTATCATGGGGCCTCCTCTGTTTCACCAACTTCTTTTTCAGAGGGCCAGTAGTATCAAATTTCATACACAGGGAGGCTGCAACTTGTGTGGGAGTAAAGTTAATGTGGCAAATGGGGTAATGGGCATTTGGGGTGGGTAGCAGCTGCAAAGAGATTACAGAGAGGCATTTAAGACTGCAACCCTGCATCCTGGTCTGAATTCTGGGGTTTCATAGTTTAGATTGTAAAATAAATTCATCCAGATTTCTAGATATGAGAGCCACAGCATCCAAAGTTGGATGGATGCCGTCTCTGCTAATCAGACCAGGTTTTTCCCAAAATGTTTTCCAATTGTCTATAAAGCACCATACTACCACTCTCCGTGGTTGCCTGAGATTCTGCAGCTCAATACTCCTTCCTCCAACTCTGCACAGGCAACATTAAATATCTAGGTATCAATATCTCCCCCAGGCTGTCAGAACTTTTAAACCTCAACTACACCCCTCTGCTAAAAATGGTAGAAAATAATTTCAAACGCTGGTCCAATCTTCCTCTCTCACTCATCGGCCGAATTGCTACAGTCAAAATGAAAACTCTACCTCAAATTAACTACCTGTTTTCAATGCTTCCCACAACACCCACAGATAAATGGTTTAAATCACTTGATTCTATTACTTCACAATTTTATTGGAAAAAGAAGAAACCCAAAATTTCCCTATCTACATTTCAAAAGAAGAAATCACTAGGTGGCCTAGAAGTGCAAAATTTCCAATATTACCACTACACAAATCAACTACAGTATTTAATCAAATGGATTCATTAAGACAGCTACAATAGTGCATGGATAAAATTAGAGCAAAAATAATTCAGTTGCAGACCTTCCCTTCCTACCCAACTTTATTAAGAAAATTAATTACTGTAAGAACATCACAATCTTATCAACTCTGACAGCCTGGTGGAAAGTAAACAAAATCAGTAAATCATCACTTGCACCATGTAGATACACTCCGATTTGGCACAACCCTGATTTTCAACTGCATAATAACCCTATCTATTTCCCAACATGGCAACATAAAGAAATCCCTCACTTACACTATCTATTTGAAAATAACCAGTTCATATCATTTAATACACTGATCCAGAAGTACGGAGTTCAGAGAGAACAGTTCCTCCAGTACAGTCAACTAAAATCCATAGTTAAGTCAAAGATTAGTGTAACCAATAACCCACTACAACTTTCCAAATTAATTGAAGAGATTATGAAAATTACAGATTCCAAGAAAATAATATTGAACCTATATAAACTCATATCAGGTACAAATTCAACAATAGCAATACCAAAACTCAAATGGGAAAATGATTTAACTCTCTCCCTCAGCTCCAGCTTCTGGACAGAAATGTGCAATAACATCTTTTCTATGATCAGCAATGTAAACTTACAACTTATACAATACAAGACCATTTACAAGACCCATATTACACAAAGTGTAAAATGGGTTTCACTGACAGGCATCTATTAACAATGCAAAAAGATTGCACTGACAATTATTTTCATGCTACTTGGACCTGCCAACCAGTTCATTCCCTCTGGATAGCAGTGACAGAGAAACTCTCCACCATCTTGGGCTGTAAAATCCTCCTTCTCCATCACTTTGCTTGTTCGGTAATATCACAGAAGTTGACCACCTACCAATTAAATACAAAAACCCACTTCTCATTTCTCTAGCTATTGCCAAGAAAACAATCTTTCAAAACTGGAAATTTAAAAAAAAATCACTACATATAAACCAATGGACCAACCTTTTGATAGAATACATCACATTAGAGAAAATGGCATCTACAGTACTTACAAGAAAAGTTTATCAGCTTTTAATGACACATGGAACCCATTTTTAACACATTTCAACTTGAACCAAGCACCTGGGGCTGAGGCCACACACATTTCCATCAATTTAACAAGCTGCTTTTATTGGTAGTACTCATCATTGTTATTGTTAATATTTTTTTCTCCTTCTCCCTTTCTTGCCCTTCATAGACTGCATAAATTGGAAATACCCACACTTATCAGAAAAATTAGGACTTGTACACAAATCAGCAGGGTAATATGTAAAATGACAAAAATCACCTCTGGGAGAAATGGATTTGTCTTTTGAATTTTTAGGTGGCCCATTGTTAACATAGATGGGGTGGGGTATATGACCTATTTTGCAACCAACCACCAGGGGGCAATGAACTTGTGGTGGCTTCACTTTTGTGACCTGTCATGTCATCCACTTTTATATACAGTCTATGCACATAAGTAATGACATACTTAAACTTTTAACCTGCATTTTTCTTTTTCAGTGCTGGCAGCAACATGCTTGCTTATGGGTTCAGGTAAATGAATGTTTGATGTGTATGACCATGCTTGCACATATTTTTCATGTCTTTGTCTTAAACTCATACTTCCGTCTTAATTCCATTTAGACATTTTTGATAATAACTGAGTCAACAGCTTTAAACAAAAAGAAGTTACTTTAACTGTGTGAGACATTTATACAGACATGAACTATCTTTTCCTCTGACCCTTCATCTGAAGCGTCCAATCACCAGTTGATTTTCGGCAAAGGGATGTGTCAGCCTATAAAAGACTTAAGATTATGGCTCCTCCAGGCAGCCCTCTTACTCCTTGATCCTTACTCCTCAGAGCAGGAATAAGAGCTTTGAAGATGGTGGACCAGAACAACTTCCGGATTGAGCAAGAATCAAGGAGCAAGGGAACTAGGAGTTAAATAAGGATATTATATATAGTAATTGTTCACAAACTGTTAAACAATCTTTTCATTTCAAGCTTCTAAGGCAAACTTGATTTTCCCTCCACAGAGAGAGTGAGCTCCTGTGATGACCACCATTTCCAGTGCCTGAACTGCGGTATGAACACCTAAAAGTACATATATATTACACTGTATTTAAAGGCATGTTATAATAGTTTTTGATTAAATATTTTATAATTGAAGACTTTTGATAGCTGAAAGTGACATACTGTTCATCTCTCAAATTAGATGCACTGCATAAATTCTAAAAGAGCAATTTAATTAATTTACATAGAATGTTGCACTTTTTGCAATAGAGAGTCTTGTTTGGTCCTAGGTCAGTGACTGGGAGAATTTCCTAAACTTTTTTAAAAACAAAGTACTTGATATCAGAGCTGCTGTCTGTCCATCTGCTGTGAAAACACTGCAGTTCTAAATTCCCTTTAACCTATAACCCTGAATGAACTGCTTTATATTTCTTCTATCATCTTCTATGAAAACCACCATTTGCTCCCTCAATGCAATCCTGACAAACACTATTGGCATATTGGCCCCAGCATCCTGTCAATCATCAATAGCTCCTTGAAAAATGCTATTGTTCAGCCACTTTTGCACAATCTAGATCTATCTATCCTCAACAATTATAAACCGATCTCCAAACTTCCTTTTTTTTCAAAATTTTTTGAAAAAATTGTTTATATGCAGCTAGTATTCCACTTGGCTGAAAACTGCATCACTGAAAAATCAGTCTGGCTTCAAACCTCATCGCAGTAGAGAATCTGCCTTACTGAGAGTAACTATCAACCTCCTTTTAGCTGCAAACTTGAGAAACTGCTCCATCATCCTAAATGGAGCTTCTGACAAGGTAGACCATTCCATCCTAATTCACAGGTTAAAACTGTGTGCTGGGGTCTCTGGTTCTGCTTTAAGTCGGTCCTCATATTTATGAGACAAATCCTTTAGTGTTTCAGTTGGCTACTCCTCTCTATCCTTAGCCTCCATCCCTTGTGGACTTCCCCAAGGTTCTACACTTGGGCCAGTCTTGTTTTCAATTTATATGATCCCATTAGGTATTATCATCTGAAAACACAACATTTCATTTCATCGTTCTGACAGATCTACCTCCGCCAAGAACCAAATAACTAAATCTCATGCAAAAAACCTTTGATTCATATTTGAAGTTCAACAAGCAAATCAATCAGCTTGTAAAGTCAAGCTTAAATCACTTCCAGACTGTGACCATCTAGTTTAGTTCTCTGCATCTCTGACCCAGTGAAAGTCATCCATGCCTTCATTTCCACCCACGCCCAGAGGTGGAAAGTAACTAATTACATTTACTCAAATACTGTATTTAAGTACAATTTACGGAATACTGACAATATTGGAAATTGATTGCATGAAGCCTTTGCTGTTCATGTTCACCACCCTGCATGTTAATGACACTCACATTCACGTTGTCTAGATGTAAACTGATCTGTTTGGTTCATGATTCACTCTGAGGAATCTACAGGATCTTTCTTTAATGCAATATTCATTTTCAGTTCAATGAGTGCATTCTTTTAGCATGGTCATGCACGGCACTGGACAGGATTGTGTAGCAAATGCAAATAAAGACAGAAAGGACACCGTAGCCTACACGAACTTGAATTATCCTAACCAGGGTTGGCAAGCTAATAGAGCACTCTGTACACTTGTCAGGTGGATGGTGCCCCTTGCAAAAGGCATATGGTGTTCTCACAGAGCATAATCTCCTCTATGCTGTTGTCTTCCCCAGTTGAGCTAATAATGGCTGGGATTCTGGCAATGATATGCATCCCTGCACAAGCAACAAAAGTGTGCACATGAACACAGGCTACCACATGTGCTGACAATAGGTGCAGCTTTCATGCAATCTCCAAAGCTGCACCACAGGTCAGGATTTGCAGACACCTTTTCTTCACATTCTCTCATAGTCGCCACTTGCATGGCACAACTGAAGTGTAGATGTAGTGGGAATGTTATAGAAAGCCTGTGGTGGAAGAAGTACTCAGATCCCTCGTAAAAGTAGCAATACAACAATGTATAAATACTCTGTTACAAGTAAAAGTCCTACATTCAGAATGTTACTACATCATTAAGGGAGGATCACATACCAGCCGGATGAGCTGGCTCTGTATGTGATCAGAGCAGGGACCAAGCAGAGTCTTGCCACTGATCAGCCAGGGCTATGTGATGGGCCAACTGGCTTTTTACTGTAGACAGCCAATCTGTGGTATGACTACTATGATGGGGAACAGCAGTGATTTAACCAAATGGCCAATCTCTCCACAGTCTAATATCTGATGTTTAATATGATATCATTTTACTTTGACAGCTCACACTGTGGCATGTGAGGGTTTAGTGGCACACCTGAAGTGTGGTAAGAACACATTTTCTTTTTTTTTGTATAGTTGTGTATAGGTTTGACATACACATATTTTCATTACATTTCAGCACCCATAATATCTTACTTGCTGCCAACCTTTCTTTCTCCTTTTCTCAGCTGAAGGAGAGGTCATATCTGTGGACAGTGCTAATTATGGACGTCATGACAAGACTACATGTGCCTCTGGACGACCTGACTCTCAGATCCAAAATGTCCAGTGCTCAAGTCCCACTAGCAAAGTTGCTGACAGGTGCAAATGCAAACTGTTTTTGATAAACAATGGGGATAAATGCCATTCATGCTCACCTTGTTGCAAATGATGCCCATACTTCCCACTCTTTGGTGCCTGTATTTACTAACATCCCTCTGCATCTACAGATGTAATGGGAAAAGCACCTGTGATGTCAGTGTGAACAACTCAGAGTTTGGAGACCCCTGTGTTGGCACTTACAAGTACCTGGAGGTGACCTACAAATGTCAGCGTAAGTAGCTCATTAGAACCAAAGCTTTCACTAGCAGGGACCTGCCTGCACTAGGTACAAATGAAAATCTAAGGCTATGCAATGCTTGTACTTGGATGCTTGTGCAGTTGATGGTTCTGGGGAATGTTGAAGAGGTCCAGAGTGCCACTGAGTAGCGGAGGTGTGAATAGCTCTAATTAGCAGCTGAACAGCAGTGAAACAGCCTCTCTGACTCCAGTCTCATATAGCTGGATGTTTTAAAAGAAAAATCCCTCAGGATTGGCTAGTAGATCTAGTGGTATACCTGCTGCTATTGGTCACTTGGGGTCATAATAATACAGGCTTAGGTAAATCCCTCCATTACATTAACAACAACAACAATAATATATATGTAATTGTTGTACTAGGAGCTACATTTATTGGGGAAAGAAAAAACTTTTGAGGAACATACTATTTAAAGCAGCTTTATTAATTCATTGAAGAAACACTCTGAATCAAACGCTGTATCAAACCAACTGGCCTAGCCAGTAGCGCAAAGTGTCCAGCCCTCTCTGGAACATTAGCCTTATGGCTGGGGTAGCTGGAACCTGGGGCATCAGATGAAGGTTTAAATGTCATTTTGCTGTCTCAGAGTCATGTGAATATGTTAGCATTCTGCCCAAATGTGGTCCAGTGTGCACACAGGTGTGATTGGTAGTTGTGTATTTTGGATAGGCTTGAGAATTGTTGGACTGACCACATTCTGTTGCAGACAAGTGTTAAATGTACACAGAGACTGCTCTGTGCAATATGACACTGTAATAGCATTCACTGTGACCACATGCATGTGATATTTTAGAAAGCTAGTCTGGTACAACTACTATGATGGGGAAACAGCAGTGATGCAGAGGTGTAACTGTAGTGCATATCTCTCCACATTCGAATATCTGATGTCTACTATGATTCATTCATGTTTGACAGCTCACACTGTGGCCTGTGAGGGGTCTCTGGCACACCTGAAGTGTGGTAAGGTCACATTTTCTTTTTTTATGAGTATGTGAAGGGCATTTGTTGACTTTGTATTTACTACCAGTCAAAAAGTTTGACACACCTACTCATTCTAGGATTGTTTTTATTTGTACTATTTTCTACATTGTAGAACAAAACTGAAGACAAAAAACCTATTAAATAACATATGCAATTCCGTAGTAAATGAAAAGGAAAAAAGGAAATAAAAATACTTCATGTTTCATAGTTTAGATTACATACCCTTGATTACAGCTTTATACACCATTGGCGTTCTCTCAGCCAGCTTCATGAGGTCTTGAAGGAGTTCCTACACATAGTATGCTAAGCAATTATTGGCTGCCTTTCCTATACTCTGTGGTTAAACACATCCCAAACTGTGTCAGGTAGGTTAAGGTTGGGTGATTGTGGAGGCCAGGTCATCTGATGCAGCACTCTATCATGTTCCTCCTTGGTCAGACAACCCTTTTAGCATGGAGATGTGTTTTGGGTCATTGTACTGTTGAAAAGTAAATAATGGTCCCACTAAGCATAAACAAGATGGGATGGCATGTTACAGCAAAATGCTGTGGTAGCCATGCTGTTTAAGTGTGCCTTGAATTTTAACAACAGTATCACCAACATTATACTCCCACATCATCACAAAGACATGTCAGTTTGAACTAAAATCTTTTACAACTTTAAAATTTTTAATTAATTATTTATTTATTTTCAGTTTTTGAAATATTCAATATTTGAAACATATTAAAGCTCCAAACACTGCTTGAGGTTTCATGACAGAGATATTCACTCAATAATTGACTACCATGAACCTGCAAACAGAGTTCCCTGCAGACCTCCCTCTTTCATGCTATTAATCCAGGATAAGACCCCAAAACCTCCCAAATAACAACAACCTGCAGTTATTGTGGCAGTTACCCCCTTAACCCTCAGATGTTACTGTACTGAGAAATGTATATAAACCAGTACACTCTGACCCTTTGAGGGTCAAAGGTCAAAGTGTTTATTTGTCATATGAAGTTAGAAAACGTGTTTCCCTGTACAATGAAATTCTTACTTTGCCGTCCACATGAATGCCACAAAATGCAAATGAAATATAAAGTAGATGAATAAGTAACACAAAATCTAAGGCACTTTAAGCAGTAAATGTGAAGATATAATAAAAATATATAAGAATATAATAGAGAATGTATGCTGCATGGGAGCAGCATGTGCGGTAGTCAACACTCAATGTGCAATTATGCATGTGCAAACTGAGAATGTAAACAGTACAGGTCGTCAGTACATGACGTATTTCCTGGTAATAAACTCCTGACAGCTGTTTAGGAGTCTGATGGCAGTCAGAAAGAAAGAGTTTTTCAGTCTAGTGGTCCTGCATTTCACACTTCTGAACCTCCGGCCAGAGGGTAGGGATGTGAGCAGTCCATGCTGGCGGTGGGTGGGGTCCTTGAGGATGGAAGCAGCTTTCCTATGCACCTTTGGTGGTAAATGCTCTGCAGAGAGGGCAGTGGAGTCCTGGTGATCTTCTCCGCAGTCTTTACTACTCTCTGTAGGCGCTTGCGGTCCATAGCAGTAGTGCTGCCATACCAGACAGTGATGCAGCTGTTCAAGATGCTCTCGATGATGCAGCTGTAGAAGTTGCAAAGGATCCTAGGCGACATGTAAACCTCCTCAGCCTCCTCAGGAAGTACAGCACACGTTGGGCCTTCTTGACCAGCTGTGTGGTGTTGTGTGTCCAAGTGACATCCTCACTGATGTGGACGCCCAGTTATTTGAAGCTGCTCACCCTCTCCACTTCAAGCCTCGGGATTAAGAAGTGTTACATTTTGTCTGAAATAATCAATAAAAGCTGTGGCAATTGCCACTTAAGACCATATTTGCTTTGCACTGTATCTAGTTGACATAAGGTGTTATTAAGGATAGGAAATTTAAAGGATAGTGTAAATTATGTAATAAGTGAACAGCTGGATATTTTGTATAAAATATTTCCTGATATAACTGTCTAAAAATCATTTTAGCAGTTCAATCTTGGCCTATTGTCAACCCTGTGAACTGTTATGTAACCTCAAAACACTCACTGGGAATTAGGTAATCAAACACTCACTGAGAGTTGGGTAATCAAACACTGAGAATTTTGTGCCTATATGTGTGGCAGTTAACCACAGAGAGTATTAAACCTTTTCAGGAATTTTATATAGATGCTTAAAAGAGTTACAGCAAAGCAGCAAGCAATAAAATATAAACCTTAAAATCATCAATAATTGCCTTAATTGGCTTACAACCTAAATAAATTAACAACTGCTATATCTAAACATCACTATTATACTTATCAAAATTGTTATGGTTGAGCTAAGCTCTTGATCTGAATGAAAGTCAAAGATATTCTCACTGAATGCTGTTCTCAGATGGCTCAAGGTGGGGTGGTGGCAGGTTGAGCAATCGTTTGTTCCTTCTTTTCAATCTTCAAAACTCTCAGAGAGAAATATAGGAAAATTTCAGACAGACAATGTTCTTCTTGGTCAAATCTTCTGTAACTCAGGAAACATAAAGATATGAAACTGTCTAACACAACGGTCTTCTTTTGGTCCAAATCTTCTTTCTTCTGAGAAACACAGAAACAATCAAATGAGCAACATCGATCCTCTTCTGCTCCACTCCTCTTTCTTCAAACAAGCCATCTTCCCCCACAGGCTGGGGTGTATTGTGGCATTCTGTTAAAATTCTTCATTTCTTCATCAATCATCTTTTAAGCAGGAATTCACTTTTTTGTCTTTCTGAACTGTGAAGCTTTGCCACAGACATCCATTTCACCCTCACAGGCCAGGTGCCTGCGAGGGAGCACCCACAGAGGGGTGCTCTCCCGGACTGCCTCTCCGCAGTCCTCGGTCTTCTGGAAGTCAGACAGTCGGACAGAGCCTCCGACCGCAACCGTGAAAGAACTTCCGTCCCTCTTTTTGCCTGGGTTTTTAAAAGATTCTGGTCTGAAAACTATTCCAGGTCACGACCTCATGAAGCTGGTTGAGAGAATGCCAATTGTGTTCAAAGCTGTCATCAAGACAAAAAGCAGCTACTTTGGAGAATAGAAATACATTTCTTCTGTATTTTTAGTTCTTAGACTTTTTTGTTTACTACATGATTTCTTTGCATTTCTTTCCTCTCTACTTATTCGACCTTTGTCCTTCCTTTTCTCAGCTGAAGGACAGATCATATCTGTGGACAGTGCTAATTATGGACGTCATGACCAGACCACATGTGTCTCTGGACGACCTTACTCTCAGATCCAAAATGTCCAGTGCTCAAGACCCACTAGCAAAGTTGCTGACAGGTGCAGTTTCCTACTGTTTTTTAATAAACTGTGGGAATGAATGCTATACATGTTCATTTCTTCACATGGTACTCATATTTCCCATTCTTCAGTTCCTGTGTTTACTAACATCCCTCTGTATCCACAGCTGTAATGGGAAAAACAGCTGTGATATCAATGCAAACAACTCAGAGTTTGGAGACCCCTGTTTTGGCACTTACAAGTACCTGGAGGTGACTTACAGATGTCAGCGTAAGTAGCTCAAGGGCCTTTCAAGGCAGTTGTAACATTTAATTGAACCACATTCCTGTCTTTAATTACATTTTAGATATAGCATTTCTCCCAAACAAAATTGATTTCTATGATAATTAAAGATATCCACAATAACATCCTTACTAGTAGATGTTACAATTTTGATTTTACTAGTCAAATCTCTTTCAAAAGTATAAGTGGCCTTTTTAACATTTAACCTCCAGGCTGGATATACATTGGGCAGGTACCAGTTCTTGTGAAAAAGAACATGTCAGATATCCACAATGTCATTTTATATTCACAATATCATTTTTGATATCCAAACTGTTAATTCTGATTATTACTAACAGAATTTATATTAATTTTCATTATTTGTTTATGACCTGCCCAAATGTAATGGTCGGCTGTTATATTCCTAACAATCATCAATCTTTAGACTAATCTATGATGGTGTAAAACATCCACATTTCCCTATAGTTAGAATTATTTAATATATCAGACTGATATTAATTTAATTAAAGAAAAGAGGATTAATACACACACACACACACACATATAATAAGCATAATCATAAGGTTTATTGCCAAGTATCAAAATTTGTATTTATCAAAATACAAGGAATTTGACTCTAGTCCAATGGCCCCCGATGTGCACAACAATAAAAACAGAATAAATACAGAATATATACAAGTTGAGAAACCACACATTAAAAGAGCGAAATTTGGACTAACTGTTCATAAGCGTGATGGCCCGAGGGAAGAAACTGTCTCTGTGTCTGGCTGTTTTGGCGCACAGTGACCTGCAACACTATCCATAGGGGAGGAGTTCAAAGAGTTTGTGTCCAGGATATGAGGGGTCTGCAGAAATCTCCTCTGCCCTCCTTTTGACCTGTGAGGTGTACAGGTCCTCCATGGAGGGCAGACTGGCATTGATTTTTTTCACAGCCCTGACTGTCCTCTGGAGTCTGTTCCTGTCTTGATTGTTGTCAAGCCAAACCAGGCAGAGGTGGAAGTGTAGATGTCAGGGCCGCTCAGCGGCCGCTGCCTCTCCTCCGTCTTTCTCTCCTCTGCTCTCTCTATCATGTGGGCTCTGCACCTCAGCTGTGTTGCATTCCAGTAATTAGCAACTGGTTTGTCGATGCACACAGCTGGGGTGCATCCCGATGATTACCTTCCCCTCCTTATATAAACCTCTGGCAGACGCTCCGTCTTTGCCAGAACATTAACATAGTAACGCGGACTGTACATGTTGGTAGAATGCTACTGGCTTGACTCTACCACACTAGCTACGAGCTACGCTAATTCCCAGTACACTACACATTTTGGTAGAATGCTACGCTGACAGACACTTTGCGTTTTGGCTTGACTCTACCACACTAGCTACGAGCTACGCTAATTCCCAGTACACTACACATTTTGGTAGAATGCTACGCTGACAGACACTGTGCGTTTTGGCTTGACTCTACCACACTAGCTACGAGCTACGCTAATTCCCACTACACTACATATTTTTTGATTCGTCTCCGGAGCATTGCTACATGTTATGGACAATACTTACCCTGTGTAGATTCCTGCCGTTAGTTTGTGTGTTTACCTGTTCGTCCTGGTCTCCTTAGTTATCACTACCCTTCCCTGGTTGTAAGTATTATGGACCCTGTTATGTTATCACTTTGTTTGTATTTATTCCAATAAACCACCTTTTTTTTGTACTAGCACCTGGGTCAGCTATCTTGAGTCCAACCCCAGTTCTCCCTCACCCTCCTGGTGAGGGGGACTAACCATAACAGTAGAGAACAGACTCAATTATTCCTCTGTAGATCTGGATCAACAGCTCTTGAGGCAGGTTGAACTTCCAGAGTTGACGCAGGAAGTACATCCTCTGCTGCACCTTTTTAATGATGGTGCTGATGGTGGTTGTCCACTTCAAGTCTCGAGAGATTGTAGAGCCCAGGAACTTGTAGGACTCCACCCCTGAAACAGAGCTGCTGAGTATAGTGTATGGTATAGTATAGGTCTTTTGAGGTGCAGTTGTTGGTTTAGAGGGAGAACAACAAAGGGGAGAGCACACATCCCTTGGGTGGAAGGGGTGGGGGGGTGGGCACCTGTGCTGATAGTCCAGGTTCTAACTGGTTCTAATCTGAGCATAGGTCCCTGGTGAGTCTAGAAGTTGCAGGATGTAATGCAGTGCCATGTTGATTGCATCATCCACTAACCTATTTCCTCAGTAGGCAAACTGCAGGGGATTCAATTGGGGGTCTGTAATGGCCTCCAGGTGGACCAATACCAGTCTCTCAAAACACTTCATGACTACAGATGTTAGAGCGACAGGTCTGTAGTCATTCAGTTCCTTCATGGAGGGTTTCTTGGGAACTGGGATGATGGTGGAAGATTTAAAGGAGGAGGGAACTACACAAAGTTCCAGTGATCTATTGAAGATCTGTGTGAAAATGGGAACCAACTGGCTGGGACAGACTTTCGGGCAGGAGGGAGTCACATTGTCTGGGCCTGGTGCCTTTCTGATTTTTTGCTTTTAAAAATGCTACACACATATTTTTCACAGACCCTCAGACAGCAGGAGGTAAAATATATCCAAATGAAGTGTGCAGTCAAAAAAAATCAGCTTTAGTGAGAGAGAGATGTAGACTTCTGCCTCTGAAACCTACAATAAAACTCATTCAGCTTGTCAGCCAATTGAGAGTTCTCTACGGCAGCTGTCTACACTGCTGTGTGTATGGGGTAGACTTTGAAATTATGCTGTGCTGATGGAGAAACAACAACTACTATTAATTTAAAAAGAAATATTCCTTACATCTAACTAAACTATTGAGGTCAAACTAGGCCCCAGTGAAGTCATTAAGAGAAAAAAAACCAATAATACTTATTTATTCTAAACTACCAGGCTGAACTCATTTTGGACTTCACACCTTGAGTGAAAGGTAATGCGTTCTATTACTCACGGGCAGCAGCAGCCACCAGTTCAAACTGGGTGAGATACGCCTCCCAGCTGCCCTTGCCAGAGAACTTTGGCATCTTCACTCCAGGGGGCTGGGAAGAAGACAGTATGCTGCAGAGCGGTGTTCCCCACACCTCCTTCTGGTTGGGTCGTCGTCAAGGTTGGGGTTCGTCCTGCTGCCCCTAGCACAGACTGACTTGCTTGCAGTTCTGGAACACCCAGCTGGTCGGCTGGTGCTAGTTCTAGAAAAACTGAATTACAGATATCTGCAATACATCCACTCTAGCGATTCAGTGTTAAAATGACTCACCATACTTTTGTGCTATTTCACTCTTGACTCAAATCCAGCGAAATATCATGTATACAATAAGTCTGTAGAATCACTAATAAACATTAACTTTGCAAACAGGTTACGGATGCTGCCATATTAAACTGTACAGTGCCATTCTGTTTGACAAAATGGTCCCCTTACTATCATTTTTTGGGGGCCCTCATCCACAATTTATGATCTTGGATAGATGATCAGTGGATAGAGTTTGCTAAGTTGCCATGGAGATCATACTGTTTTTTTCAAGAGATAAAAACTGCATCTGATAAAGACTATGAGATGTGGTTGAAGGCTCTGAAAAATAGAAGTAAGTTGACTTTGAGTTAAAATTGTTTGTCAAACTACTATTTCCAAAGTCAAATGTGCATTTTACACCCAGTGTGTAAAGTGATGTTTATAAAAGTCTATAAAACAGTCAGTGACAATTTTTGTGCCAGTAATTTCATTCATCTGTCATAAGTCAATATTTTATGTTCTTTTGCAGATCCTGTTTGAACCAGATCGCTGACATCCCAATACATTAATAAAAGCTTTGAATTAAATGCATAACAATGTAATCAAGAAACCAATCAAATGATCATAATTAAATTATAAATACACTTTATGGCCAAAACTATGTGAACTATGAAAACTACGTGCTGAACATTTCACCCATTTATGATTCTGGTCTTATTTATATGGAGATGGCAGCAAACTGCTGCTGTTTCTCCTTCAAGGTGACTTTTTTGATTTAAGCCCCCTTTACACTAAACTCAAATGGGCTGGCAAAATGCTACTCCTGTGTTCTTTTTACACAGAGAGCCTACCAGCATCTTGTTGTTGTGCCAAAATCTGTTCCCTTCAAGATATACATATTTCCCCTAACATTATCATTAACCATGACCACTGGGGGATTGAGATGGGTTTCAGCTGTTAAAACACAATTTTAACAGCTGAAACCCATCTCAACAGGTTAACAGATTTCAACACAAGACCAGTATTAGAGGCATGACATTTAATGTAATGCCCACCAGAACATAGTTTACAGCCATGCATATAACAAAGCATACTGATGTTGCATTGATATGCATTTCGCCTTTGAGATGTGTTTCTCCTATCTTAAAAGGTTTCATAGCTGCTTCTTCATTTAAATTGCTGGGAGCCTAGTGCAATGTGCAGATTTGTTTTAATCTGTTTTTGGCATTTAGGTTGTTGTTGGTTTGGCACCTGTTAAAGTATTTTGGATGTGCATGCTCTGTATTCAGTTTTGTTCCCCTTATATTTTAACCTGAACCATGTTTAACAGGGAACACATCTTGAAGGAGGAATAAATATCATTACACCACTGGTAACATTTTTGCTGTCAAATCAGCAGCTGTGGGTGAACAGAGTAGGGATGTGCTTTTGCTCAAACTGATCTAGGCAAAAATACGATGGCATTTTGCAGAGTCATCTTTGACCACAGAACAGAAAGTCAGAAAACTGCTGCAAAAGTCCTGCCTTGAATGAGCAGTGTAAAAGGGGCTAGTGACTATCTCATACCAGAACAGTCAAGTACAAACTGAAGTGTCCATATACTTTTGTTCATATAGTGTATATACAGGTCCTCAACAAACAAATTAATCTAAATGAAATTTAATTCAATGTCTTTGATTAATTCATTTTCTTTACTGCAGTCTTTTTCATTTTCTATTCTGTTATTCTACTGTAACTCTTTTAATTGTCCAGTACAATAAACTTGCCTTGCATTGACAACTTGCCTGGCTCCATTCAATAACACTAAATTATTACATAGTACAGTTGAATACCATAGCTACTTCTGAGAATACCAGGGTCATGTCCTTTGTAATATGTTTATACACTGCATACCATTGTTACATACTGTATATACTGTGCATACCACTCCTCCAGTGGTAGAGTGTCAAGGGGCGCAAGTGGTGCTGCTGCTCTCAAGCTCATGCCGTCTGGCAACCAGGGCGGGTTTTCAGGACAATGAGAATGTTCAGTACTGTACTGTACTGTACAGCAATACAAAGTCAGTTGAAGGACTAATCACATGCTACCATTAAGGTTATCATTATTTTACCTCCTTATAGGTTACAACTGCATTTGCACCACCCACAGGGCATGCAAAGTTACCTAAATCAAACACACACTCATGTAGAACTTCAGCTAGCTTCAGGAAAATGCTTACATTAGTGCATTCATTTGAAAGGCCAGAGACATACAAAAGCAAGACATACAAAGGCATGCAGTTGCAATTAATTAAAGTAATTATTCCATAATATGGATTACTACAATAGCTGAATAAGGCTATTTGCAGTATACTAACATTATATCAAATTAAGTGAGTGTGCAATCATGCATGTGCAAAATGCATATGTAAACAGTACAGATGGAATTACATGAGGTAGATTCTGAGTCAGCTGTTTAGGAGTCTGATGGCAGTCGGAAAGAAAGAGTTTTTCGGTCTAGAGGTCCTGCATTTCACACTTCTGAGCCTCTGGCCAGAGGGCAGGGATATGAACAGCCCGTGCTGGGGGTGTGTGAGGTCCTTGAGGATGGAGGCAGCTTTCCTATGCACCCTGCGGTGGTAAATGCTCTGCAGAGAGGGCAGTGGAGTCCTGGTGATTTTCTCCGCAGTCTTTACCACTCTCTGCAGGCAATTGCGGTCCATAGCAGTAGTGCTGCCATACCAGACAGTGATGCAGCTGTTCAAGATGCTCTCGACGATGCAGCTGTAGAAGTTGCAAAGGATCCTAGGCGACATGCCAAACCTCCTCAGGAAGTACCGCCACCATTGGGCCTTCTTGACCAGCTGTGTGGTCTTGAATGTTCAAGCGAGGTCCTCACTGATGTGGACGCCCAGTTATTTGAAGCTGCTCACCCTCTCCACTTCGAGCCACCGGATGAACCTCATGTCCACTATCATCTCCTTTGTCTTGTCTGTGTTGAGGGTGAGATTACTGTCCTTGTACCATGACACCAGACTGGCCACCTCCCTCCTGTAGGCTGCTTCGTCCCCGCCAATGATGCGACCTATCACTGCAGTATCGTTGGCGAACTTTAGGATGATGTTGTCTTTGTGGGAGGTGACACAGTTGTGGGTGAACAGGGTGTAGAGGATGGGACATATCCCTGTGGGGTGCCGATGTTCGTAACAATGCTGGCTGAGGTCCTGTTGCCAATCAGGACAGTCTGGGGCCTGCCAGTCAGAAAGTCCAGGAGCCAGTCACAGAGGGTGGGGTGCAGACCCAATGTGGACAGTTTGTGGGTGAGTTTGTGGGGGATAACTGTGTTGAAGGCGGAGCTGTAGTCAATGAAGAGTATCCTGATGCAGGAGTCTCCATTTTCCAGAGTGTTCTTGCCCCGAGTGGGAATGTTCACATGTTGGTAATATTTGGGGAATACAGTCTTTAAATGGCACTGGTTAACCACTGGCCTGTTGTTGTTCAGGCAGGTGACCGGGCTCTTCTTGGGAAGGGGGACGATGGTTGTGGTCTTAAAGCAGGTGGGCATGTTGCTCTGGCTGAGGGCAGGTTGAAGATGGTGGTGAGAATATCAGCCAGCTTGCTGGCATATGCCCTGAGAGCCCTCCCAGGGATGCTGTCTGGTCCTGCTGCTTTACAGGGGTTGATCTTCCTCAGGACTTTGCATACCTGGCCTGGTGAGACAGTTAGTTGGGTAGCTGTTAGGGTTATTTTATCATAAACAAACGGACTGAGTAGACTGAGGCCGATTTTCTTTATATAAGGATTTTAATACTTGCAGCAAGCACTGAGCATTCAATACATACAGTTCAGTTGCATGGAAACAATGCTCAGAAAGATGGTCTCAGCTGAGCCTATTTATACAGTCAAGTTGATACTGTGGCAGTTCAAGAATTCAATCCCTGCTATAAGTCTCTGTCTACCAGACAGAGCTGGGTGCTGTCACACACTTTTCTGCATACTCATGGTCTGGTATTTGTGAGAACTATGTGTGTCAGCTCAAGCACAAATACATCATCTGCTTTAAACCAAAACACTTGCACGTACAAATGTATAACATCTTCTTGAGCATTTGAACAAGCCATAACACAACATTTTCCTAACAATAACTTAGGTAACTTTGCATGCCCAGTTAGTTGTGTATGATGACACAGGGGTTGGGTGGGCCAGGTGTGTGCGTGCTTCCTTTCTGTGCTGTAGCTGGAGGTCTCAAAGCGGGTGTAGAAGGTGTTGAGGTCATCCGGCAGGCTGTTTGTGGGGCTAATGATGCTGGTGGTGGTCCTGTAGTCTGTGATGTGCTGCAGGCCTTGCCACATCCGTCCAGAGTCAGCAGTAGAATAGAAGCCTTTCAGCTTCTCTCTGTACTGCCTCTTGGCTGCTGTGATGGCTTTCCTCAGTCTGTACCTCGCAGCTTTGTACTCCGTCTCATCACCCGATCTGAATGCATGAGAGCGAGCACGCAGCATGTGGCGTACCTGACTGTTTATGCAGGGCTTTTGGTTGGGGAACCTCCTGACTTGTATGGTTGGCACAATGTTGTCAATACAGGTACTAATGTATCCGGTCACATACTCAGCATAATCCTGTACACTGACAGAAAAGTCCTCCGAGGTGGCTGCAGCTTTAAACACATCCCAGTCTGTCTGGGTGAAACAGTCCTGCAGGGTGTCTTCAGTCTCTGAGGTTAATTTGTTTGGTGATAGGGTTTGTTTGTTTCAGTTTTTGTTTGTAAGCTGGTTACAGGAACAAAGAAATGTGGTCCGAGTGTCCGAGGTGGGGGTGGGGTGCAGCCCTGTATGCACCCCGATGTTACTTGTTAGGTAATTTCTTAGTTAGATAGATATTGATTAGAGATCTGTTGTATTAGAAAATGTATTGTAGCCAGGATGTCTTCCTCAGGCTGTAAAATGCAAGGTTAGTTAGAGCAGAGAAAGGCTGCAGTCAGGGACAAATGTTATTATGACGGTAAAAGTAACCATAATATTTGTCTTAATGTGTAATGTTATGTCAAATTGTTTTAGATACACACCACGAAAACAACAGCCACACACATTATTTTCTTCATGTTTTGTCTACTGCTCTGCTCAGCTGCCAAGCTGGCATATCAGGTGACGTCACGGTTCGACAGCCCAGAAATGATTAATATTGTATAGCAATGCTTGGTTCGGGGTCTTTTTCTGCTTCCGGGCTGCTTGGGCAGCCTGGGGTTGGAAGATCTCTGGACTTGAAGTGTTGATTCTTGCCTGTGACTCTTTGAATAAACCAGCACGGTTATATTTTTTATATACTCAAGTGGTCTGAGTCGTCCCTCTGAGTTCCTGGTTTGAAAGAACCGGACGAGGCTTTATAATAGAATAGAGCCATTAACTGTAAACATGATCTAGAGTGTTCTTGCCCCGAGTGGGAATGTTCACATGCTGGTAATATTTGGGAATTACAGTCTGTAGACTGCACTGGTTAAAGTCGCCTGCCATGATAAAACCAGCCTCAGGATGAGTCGTCTCTAGAGCGCTGATGACATTGTGAAGTTTGCTGAGAGCCGCCGATGGATTAGCTCTTGGGCTAACATACACAGCAGCCAGAAACACAGCACTATGCTCTCTTGCTAGATAACAGGGCTGACATTTCAGCAATAAAAACTCCACTTCTGGCAAACAATGCTTATAAACAGTCCGTAAATCACCGCACCATGAGTTATTGATAAACACACACACGCCGTCTCCTTTTACATTCCTCGAAGCAGCAGTGCAGTCTCCCTGGTGTACAGAGTGGGTCTGTAGCTGAATCACGGAATCTGGGACTTTGTCAGAAAGCCAAGTCTCAGTGAGAATTAGAGCACAGCATTCTTATATTTCTCATTGTGTTGTAATCCTGGCTCTTAGCTCGTCCAATTTGTTTTCCAGAGACTATACGTTAGGTAGGAAGTGGCTGGGTAGTGGCGGTCAGGTAGCACGAGCTTTTAGCTTTTAGCCTAGCATTAGTCCCTCCTCTCTTGCCCCGTCTGCTTTCAGCCTGCTCGCTTGTGCCTGGTGCTCCGGAGGCTCCCTGAGGGTGATGGTAGTTGTCCTCGTTGTTGTTGTTGCGGGAGCGGACAATGAGTTGTAGCTCAAACTTGAAGATATTAGTAAATACCTCAGCTAACTCTGCAGCACAGTTTCTGAAAACCTGTCCTGGGATTCCATCTGGGCCAGCCGCCTTCCGGATGTTGATATTCTGGAGTGTATGTCTCACATCAGCAGGCTGCAGGATGAGTGGCTGGTTGTCTGTAGCTGGAACTAAGGTGATGGCCGTCGCCTCTGCTTCCACCTCAAAGCAGCTGAAAAAATGATTGAGCTGCTCTGCTAAGGAGTCACTGCTGCTGGTCAGACTGCCGTTGTGGTTATGCCTAGTGATGTGTCGCACACCTTGCCATGCTCGGCGGGGATCCGAGCTTCCAAAATGATGTTTAATCCTCTGCCTATACATGGTTTAGAGTTCCTGATGCCTTTCTTCAGGTTGGCTCTAGCCTCACTGTGCTGTTGTGTGTCACCTTAATAAAAAACAGCATTCCAGGCCTTTAACAAGAGGCACACATCAACCAGGGCTTGTTGTTTGGAAATGCCCATATTTGTTTGGTAATGATGACATTATCCATGCACCTTTTCACGTAAAACAGTACAGTTGAGGTGTAGGTGTCAATGTTGTTTTCCTCAAACAGTGTCAATTCAGTACACTTAAAACAGTCCTGAAGCTGCTCAGACGCACCCTCTGGCCACACTTGTATCTGTGATATGG